ACGTGGAAGTACAAGTCAAACAGGCCGTATTTTGTTCTGTCATTGAGATTTTTCAAAGAGTAATTTCGTTCGAATTTTTTCAAAATGTTATAATTTTAGGTATGTAATTTCTCTGGAAATTGCGAATGGTGGTGATTCGTTTTAGAGAACTTGTCTAAACGTTCATTGAGCGAAATTTCGGGTTGTGTTTTCTAAAAGTGACAGCGTGACAGTTCTCATTATTGACTACTAGTTAATAATAAAAAATTATTAACCACTTTGAACAAATGCCGAGAAAGCCTACTTTACAAGTGGAAAAAAGGTTAATAATCATGTCATCAGACGCTAGTAGTGAAAAAAATCTAGTACTGTCTTGAACAGTAAACCGTCTCCAAAGTAGTTCAGTTACATTTAACGTTTACTGTCTTAGGAAGGACCCTACCATCTCAGAATTCGCGAAAAGTCGAAATCTCTAGGTGGCCCAGAGACCGCGAAATCTCGATGGAACAGACAGACGGACACGCGGCGGAAAATCGAGCACATAAGCGTTACGGCCGTTTTTTATTAGGTTGGATGTATGATTGAAAAAGTATGTAGTGTTGGCCACCGTGGACGTAGAGAGACGAGTCTAATAAGGGAGGGCCCGAGCTATGCCGAACTCGCCTCCAGCTCGCTCGACACTGGTGTACAAAAAAGTGTAGTGTGTTTGGCAGTTGGTAAACGTCGTTTACCACCGTGGACGTAGAGAGGCGAGTCTAAGGGAGGGCCCGAGCTATGCTTTAGCTCGCTCGGCATCGCCGTGCAAAAACGTGTAATGTGTGTTTGGTTGGCCGTTGATAAACATCGTTTGACACCGTGGACGTAGAGAGGGACGGCCCGAGTTATGCCGAACTCGCCTTCGGTTCGCTCGGCATTGGTGTGCCTACTACTCGCGTTAAATTTTTCATTATTTGTATTTTAAAGTCCCGACCTAGGACACCCCTTTGGTTTATCTTGAAATGGACTCGTCCATCAGTTTGACGTTTAGTTTTTTTAAAATGGCCGGAAATTCTCATTTTATGGAAATTAAGGAAGGAAAATATGCCTTTTCGTTGCGACAAAAAGCTTCCAACACATGCGGATAGAAATTCTAGAATGTTTAAGACTTCTCACGGCAGAGGCGGACTGGTAACCTTTAAGTGGCCTGGGGAAAATATTTATCGGCCCATTTTTTAGAATTGGAACTCGCGGGTAACATTTAGTTCTATAAAAATAGTCTCTTTAATATCTTGAGCAGTATCAACTTAAGGCGTATATTTTATTTTATTGCCTTTATTTTATAATTTTGCCTTGATAACTTGTTCTGAAATTTGACGTTTTACCTATTAGGTACATAGGTACTTAAATTTATTATTATTGTGTAAGTAATTATATTGACCATTGGTTTTGATTGTCCTCGTCTTGGCTTTCGTTCGGGGGTGCTTTTTCTTTGTTTTTCACAAATAACGCTGTTGATAATGTGAATTTAGCAATGGGCCGAATGTTTTTAACAATAAAATTGGTTCCAAGAAATTACCATGGTGCCCGGGTTCATTAACGATAGGAAGTCCTCGTTTCTATTAGGTACCTCTGTGCCCTATATTGCACTTTCCATATTACTGTAAATAACTTCAATTATACAATTATCCGTATTCACAGTATACATCGTATACCGTATAAACAAAGTTTCTTGTCTTTCTTTCGCTGACATAAGGGCGCGCTATCAGTATTGTGTGTTGCCTATCTCACAATAGCTTTCTTATGGGAAACATGCCTAACGTAATTCATACCGTTTTTAAAAACTATACTTTTTTTTGGGAAATGTTTGTTGTTTCTTGTTCTTAAATGTATGTAAATTATGAGTGAACAGTTTATATTGCACTAAAACTCATAGCACATTCTCTGAAAGTGTATAAAGTAGACGTTCGATTGCAATGGCAATCTTTTGTGTATAATTCAAAGGTCAAAGAAGTTTTTGAAATATAAATTGTTTCTCCAGATTCTTGAACATATAAGGAATAAAACGTGATGTAAAAATGGATAATATGTGGTTTCTAAAGCACAAACGGTATGAACTCCGTACACTTGAATAATAACTCGTAAAACAATTATAGAAAAGAAATTTGTGCTCAGTGTAGTTCAACGTATATCCACTAAGATGGCTACGGTATACTATTCTTACAAAGCGGGAAATTTAAACTGGAGTACTTATTGGAATGTATTAATGTATCTATTTTTTAGCAGTATAACTTATTCCTTTTATTGGCTTTGTTGGTTATTAATGCAGATAAAATGTATCCAGCAAAAAACCGTACCATAAGTAGGAATTACACTGGTTAACGTTACCTACATTCAAAATTTGGGTTAGGAAACTGGCAAAAGAAGTATTTATAAACGTTGAGTTTAGGATCATGGGATTTTTCACTCTACGTTATAATTAATTAATATAAAAATTTCAGAGCTTACAACAAAAAGAGGTTATGTGGGATGGTGTTTCTGAATTGATAATACAGTGTTAATACTGCTTACGTTTACCAGACGAAGCGCTACTTATGGGCAAGAATACTCTCGCCCAAGTTGCTATCTAATAGCACTGTCGACTTGTACGATGGTATTTACACCTCGGAAGTGCTATCAGACAACTCTGCAAGAAATCAGTAACTGAAGATTATATATTTATTCGATAATAAATGTACACGTCACTTACAACTAAATTTAAGCACTATTAATAATAACGAAACCCCACCGATTGGATGCCATCTTGGTTCCCATAATTTGAATGAACTACATACTATCGGCATTGAATAATTCAATCGTTGAGTGAAGGATCTCAATGTTATCGGTATTATATCAAAATATGATTTCACACCCAAACAAATAACATTCAATTATGAGTTAGTATTGCTGACTTGCAAATCTGGTTTTCCTAAAAATATTGCGTGGATTGTCCTTTGTGATCATAAAGGCTGAGTATTCCTTAAGGCCGATTCACATTATTATCGGTCAGGTTACGGTCAGAACATGAACAGTACAGAAATACACGGTTACAATAATTGACCGCACCGTGTTCTGATCATGATGTGACCGATGGCCTTATATAAACGCACTGCAATGACATCGTTCGGTAAAATGATAATCGGAAAAAAATGTACTCGGTGTCGGAAGTCAATCTTCGGAAATGTGTACAGTCGAAGGATAGCCTAAAACAATCCATTAATAGAACTATATTAAAATAAAGAACCTCAACTTTACTTACCTAGGTAGGTACTGGTTTTTTTTGTTATTTTGCAGTTAATAGAAAATCAGGTAAACATAATCCATAACATAACCCAACTTTGAATGGCATTTCAGGAATTACAATTACTATAGGCACTGTTATTGGCATTCAATTGAATTACTGAACAAAACCGCATATTATGGTAAATAAGTATTTTTAGGTAGAATTTATTTCGCAAGATCACTAAATTCCCTTTTTAGAGTTATGGAACGATATTTACAGTTACAGGTGGTAACCAAAGATAAGCAAAATACTATTTTTAATTTTATCTCAAGACGAATGTATGCGAGTGTCAGCGACCTAACGAAGTACAAATAGGGATCGCGGATTCGGGATGGCAGCACAAAGCAACGAATATTTAAAAAATACTACTTAGTTCACTTTTCTTACACCATGGCGTGCAAACGCACCCATAAACGAAGATTTTCTTGTTTTCGCAAACTGTATTGAAAAGATAGGAAGACTCATTGTCCAGTGTAACGCGTCCTCTTACAAATAAAAACAAATTCGGCGAAAAAAATCGATTATTATAAGGCCAGTAACGCACTAGGCAGCCATAAAACTGCGGGGGCTAATCCCACACACTATTGTTTATTCGAGCCCGCCTAGACAGCTGAAAATCGTGTGTGGCTGCCGCAGTGAGGCTGCCTAGTGCGCTACTGGCCTTATTCTGCACGCTGACCAATTAAATTGGAATCAACCATTATAACTCATAAGGCATAACATAACACAGTAGGTACAATAAAAATATATAGACAGAAAATAATGTTAAATAAATCGATTTTTGGCGGCCCATCAGTTGACATTTATACCGGCCCATCGGGCGATCGCCCGACTGGCCAGTCCGCCCCTGCCTCACGGACTTGCCCGCGCCCTATTTAACTCAAAATCACAAAAAAAAAACGCCTCACTGATGACGTCATCGGTGCATATTTTAAGGTTTTTTTTTGTTAATTTAAGGGTGAAGAAGTATAATAATCAAGTTTTGACCGTATGAATGTCGCCCCAACTTTTCATGGACTACTTGATTTCGTTGAGAAACTTGAGTTACCTCAAAACCGGCGGTGACCTTCAGTTGCGTTTTACCATATTGTTTTCAATTATGTTGTTCAATCTTTTATATTGAAATATAATATAAATATACAGGGTAAGTAAACGTTGTGAAGCACGTTTTTAAATAATTGGTGTTTTTATATAATTATAGTTATATTGTTCAATCATTTATATTGAAATATAATATAAATATTTATATTGATTCAATCATTTATATTGAAATACAATATAAATATACAGGGTAAGTCCGGGAACAATCGATTATATCACTTATTTGTGAAGCAATTTTTTAAATAATTATTCTTATATAATAAATATTAATGCATTTATAGTAATTGTAATGTTTTTTTTTCTTCTGTGTAAAAAAAGACTTCTATATTTCTTGTAGGTAGGTAGAAGACAAACTCTTGCGAGTGCGTGGTTATATGCCCCCAGTAATGACGTCTCCAAAGTATTAATTTGCGCACTATCTTTTTGCACTTTTGCTTCGGTACCTAACTTTTTCAATTCGTTAGGCGAGTTTATTCTGCCTGTAGCAGAAATGGCGTTTGAATAACCGTCTTTATAAAGATACTTACCTACCAGAACCAAATGTTACTAAAAAAATCAGTAAACGAAACCAAAGATCTGGAACTTCTGTTTATTTTGTGTCCATTGCGAATGAAAAAAAAAAGACTACTGTACATCTTTTAATAGTCCTATAAATATATACACACTGGAATGGTACACCTACAGGTAGTTTATATTAGTAATGCATCTATCTAACGGAGTCTTGAAATAATACCAATAGGTAAGCAATACTTATTATTACAGGGAAGTGAGCAAACTTAAACACCTACGGAGCAGTTCTTATATACCTATCTATTTAAGCAGTCTATTCTAGGAAATCACAAAATTATTTGAGATTCATTTTTCTCTGTACAGTGATTTAGAGACACAGAATGATTTCAATCGAACTGTAGACAATGAAATCAGTTCAAGACATTTTAGAGATAGATGAAAATCATACTGTGATGCTATGTAAATAATTAAGTACATGATGCCTTGCCTACTGTGTTCGTCTAAAGTCCCTCAAGTGCTTTTTAGATGGTAACATTTTTGTGACACAAGCTTGTGCGAGAAGATTACTACCAATTCAAATGTTACCGGCTAGAAAGAGCTTGTGTACCTACCTACTTGTCAACATTTTTAGACGTGCATAGTATGCTCAGTCACTAAATGAAAATGCTTTACCCTTTTAGGTTTACTTTGTAATTCACAACCATATTATTTTCAAACATCTTTGCCCACAGAATCTAGAAGGACTTCTATGTGCCTCTACTGTTCAGGTTTATAGCTATGCCCTGTTTTAAACTAAAAATCTGATTAAATATAGATTTCAGGTACACGTAATTACAATAATACGAATAGGTGCAGATCAAACAGAACTTGAGCAATTACGGATTATTTAGTCCACTAGGTATGCAGTGTTTTTGCAAGTAAAATTCCATTGTGAATGGAATCGAAGATTATTGCCATAAATGGTATGAGCTCTGCCGAGTTCTCTTTTCATATTGCGGATAATTGAATTTGAAGATTTTACTTTAATATAAAAAAATAATTTAACCAAATCCCACCTGATAGGAATTGTGTTATCAAAAACTGGAATATCGTATAAACTTACTTAAAGTAATATCACAACATTTTTTTGGTCAGGCAAGTAATAAAGTGCTATCTTAGGAAAAAGAAGATTCGTATTGTTTCCCTTCAGTGGTAGCATTTTGTTCTAAACCTTGCAACTCTATAATGGCTCTGTCGAGTGGAACTATTTTGAATAATTCAGAAGTAGGCTGATACGTATATTTACTACTATCTAACTTAAACTTCAGTCCTAAAACTATGTTCAATGCGGACGCGTCATAGTTATGGCATCCAGAATAACGATATTGCGGTTTTTTATTAAATCGACAACCTCCAGATTGAGCTCCTATTGGATAAATACAGTCTTGAGTTAACGCACATTGTACCCATGGCAGCATCACATCCTTATGTGTGCTTTCAGTATTGACGAGTATTATAATATCCGCCGATACCATTTGCACGAACAAAAAGTTATCCGCATCGGTACGAAAATAATCGAACATCTTTTTGTGAGTACGACTAGATACAGCATTCTTAAGGGGCATCGCCCACGTCAAAATTCCGCTACCCTTAACGACCGAGTTATATAAATTCAATAATACTTCAGGTATTACAAATCTTTTGAAACGAATGTTACATTCCAAGAAGAAAATTGATCCGGTGTGCTGGAGAGCGTCCTGAAAAAAGTATTCATTTTGTTAAGTGATATCAACAAACAAAGCAGTGGCGTATAAAATCGTCGATACCTGCCTGTATCACAACCGGCCGGTACGCACGTAAAGCTTCATCTTCAACGTGTGATGGAAATTCGTTTAAATTAAAACTAATGACTTGGCACCGACTGCTATTACAGTAGTTCTGTAGCTGAAACAAAATTGTCATTCAATTTTCATATTCATCTTTGAAATGCGTTCGTTTTAACATGGTTTTGGTTTCAAATACCATTTTTATTTTTATTTATTGTATTAAACAATAGACAAGAGACAACAACACTTACAAAACAACAATTTATAAGTATACCGCTCCATAGCGAACGTGAACAAAAGTATGTCTGGCGATAACAAGAAACGTATTGGGGAAAGCGAGCGCGGTTGCCACGATCTCTTGGGACTTAAAAGTTTCTGTTTAAAGCCGACCGCGTGCCGAAAATGCATGTGTACTACGAGCCCTAACAACTAAATGTTGGGACAAGCATTTCATTTCGTTTAATGGCTAAGAAAAAATTATGTCTACACACCTATTCATCCGGTTTTTGGCAGTATATAAAAATGTATCTGTATTACTGCCATAAATGCGAATAAATGAAATAGTTCCACAATTTGTTAGCATTTTGGACGATATTATTTCATTTCTGTACAGAAACTTCTGACAACTAAATGTTGGGACGATGTTCCACACTTATAAGTAGTAGCTAGTTAATTTCACTAAGTGGGCTTTGGGACCAATGATAATATTTGTCATTTGCCAACTACATATTCCATAGCTTTATTTTGATAATAGTTTGTTATAAAAATGGTCCGCGGTGCAGCGACAAGTTCGCATCTACGTTCACTCATTGTAAAGCAATATTGCCAAGGTAATACCGTTCGTGAGGTTGCCGAAGCTTTAAATATTGCAAAATCAACGGTCTTTAACGTGATAAAACACTATAGAGAAAACGGAGATATTTGTGTTAAGGGTAAAAGTTCAGGTCGCCCTAAGCTAGTGTCAGCAAGAAATCAACGATCTCTTATAAAATTGTGCAAAAAAGGACGAAGAAATACGTTACGAGACATTACGGCACAGTGGAACGAAGAGTCAGGATTAAAACTCTCGCGAGAATGTTGCAGACAATGGATACACAAATCTGGACTAAAATTTTATAAGGTATGTCATAATAATTCAACAAACTTTTCTTTGAGAATATTGTTTTATCACACAAAGGCTAAGGAAAAACCACTTCTTACCACAAAACAGAAGAAAAACAGATATCAATGGGCGAAATCTAAGCTATCATGGACTGTAGACGACTGGTCAAAAATTATATTTAGCGATGAATCAAAATTCGATGTATGTGTGGGGGATTTTCGAAAACGGGTAATCAGATCCAAAAATGAAGCTTTTCACCCAGATTGCATTAAACGTACCGTGAAATTCCCAAAAGGGGTTATGATATGGGGATGTATGTCGGCGAAAGGTTTGGGATACTTTGAGGTTATCGACGGTACTGTAAACGCAGAGAAATACCAAAACATATTAAAGAATAGGCTTCTTCCGAGTATCGAGAAGCTGTATGGCGAGGAAGATTTTGTTTTCCAGCAAGACGGAGCCTCTTGTCATACAGCCAAATCAACCCAAAAATGGCTCTCTGAGAATGGGATCACAGTTTTGTCATGGCCTTCTAGTAGTCCAGACCTAAATATTATTGAAACCCTTTGGCATAAGATGAAGCAGCAGTTACGAAACAATCCTCAAAGAACAGTTCCAGATTTAAAGTTAAAACTGGCAGATATGTGGACTAAATTTACACCTGAGTTTTGTAAAACATTAGCAGCAACTATGCCTGCCAGAATAGCAGCGGTTGTAAAGGCGAAAGGAGATGTAACACCGTATTGAACTAAACATCCTTGGTTTTGTCCCAACATATAGTTGTCAACAATTGTTCATGACCTTTGTCATTTTTTTTATTATAACTACTTGTATATTGTATTACTTTTCTTGTTGCATGTAATACAAAGTTCAATATTAAAACTTTCATTTTTTTGTTTAATAATTTTAATAAGCGTTGCCGCTCCTATTAAATATTTCTAATCGAAACATTAAATGGCTTGTCCCAACAATTAGTTGTTAGGGCTCGTATTTTATAGCAAGTCTCTGGTACTATTGGTAAAAAAAGGTACCCTAGTCGAGGTCGTTGCGTTCAGAAAATAGGTCCCGTTTCAGAAATTCTAACGGGCTAAAAATAGCGAGAGAGGTGGGAGAGTGAAGAAGATTAATTTGCGAGCGATCACGTACGTTTTTCATCATTGATTTTTTCCATCGCGTACCATTTTTTTACGAGAAATTTTATTTCGCGGAACATGGGCATTTTATTTCGGTGCATAGTAACTTAGAACGTTATTTTTTTCGCGAAATTGAAGCCGGTATGCTTAGCTTCGCAATACGTCACGGAGTCACCTGTACCTACCATTAAGCGATCTCAACATGCCTAATCTTTATTTTTATCAGTTAAAACTAACAAAGTTGTGTGTCAATAAAAAACGGAATGTTTGTCTCATGTTTATTCTACCTGTTTCAGAGCGATTAATTAATAAATTACTATAGTTTGATTCTGTATCGATATTTATTTCAACCAAAAAACATTTATAAACGACCCGTGTAGAAAGCTTTCATAAGGAATTAGCATAGAACATAAACAATAATTGATGTCACAATCGAGGGCGATCGAAAACTTTACAAATAGGACACTGTAATACAGGGTGTTTCGAAATTTGCGCACACGGACTACGTGATGATGTTATACGACAAAAACTGAACAAAAAGTTCCTCTATCAGTTTTCCATCAGACGGCTATTTTTCGCGCTACCGCGGTTTAAAAAATCTCCGCCCCCCCTACGCTGCGCCACTGGTTAAACGAGTACGTAATTACAACAGTTGTTCAAAATGTCCGCCGTCTGCTAGTAAACAAGCTTCAGCACGTCGAAAAAAAAAGTGCCGGTCTGATAAAAAACTGGAACTTTTTATTCGTTTTCGTTGTATAACACCATCCCACAGTCTCTGTGCGCGAATTTCGAAACACCCTGTATATTGATCTGCAATGTCAACATTTAAATTTAAATTCATTTTTAGTCAAAAGGGGATCAATATGTAGTAAAAGAAAGTATTAATATCAAAACAGGCTTCCGCAGAAAACAACGGAGCTATAATCTGATATATATCGGAGCAGTTTACAAGATCGTTAATCTCCAAAGGGGTTTCGTTAAT